ATATACACACATACTTTTTTTTCCTTACACAAATGTACACATATTTACAAGTGTGCCTCAAACAGCATATATTATGATGTGCTATGCTTTCTTCCTTTAGCATTCTTTGGAATATCTTTCCAAATTAATGAATATTCTCTTGGACTTAGCAAAGAAAGATGCATATTAGGATGGCCTATTCCCATTGTCATCAAGTCGGTTCCAACTCATTAATACACCATGTGTCACAGAGTCAAAACCAAACCAAACTCACTGCCACTAAGTCAGTAGCACCTCTCAACTTTCCCCTCTCGATGAGTCATTTTCTGACTTGGGCAGGCTCTGTGACTATTCTGTGCCCTTTTAGTAGAAGTTGTTATTGTTGTTGTTGTTATGTGCCGTCAAGTCGAACCTGACTCATAGCGACGCCTCCTTGGGTTTCCGAGGCAGTGTCACTACGGAAGTAGATTGCCCCATCTTCCTTCCGAGGAGTGACTGGTGGGTTTGAACCGCCAGCCTTCTGGTTAGCAGCCAAGTGCCTTAGCCACTATGCTACCAGAGCTCCCTTAGCAGAAGTAGGACTGCCATTTTAGTAGTTAGTTCTCTTTTCAGTTTTGCTCTTAAAACGTCAGTGCTTTACCCAGTGTGAAGTGCCTCCCCTCACCCAGCACAGGCAAGCCTTTCTCTGGGATATCTGAGGAGGGGGCATGATCCCTTTCTTTCTTTGGGTTTTCTTGGCTGGAATCTTGATGGAAGCAGAGCCCCAGGCCTTCCTTTCATGCTGGGTGGGCTAGTGCTGCCAACTTTGGTTTAGTAGTCGAGCTCAAATTGTTTGTGCCACGCAGGGACCTCTTAGGATGGCAGGAGCTTCCTATTAGCCCTACGTCATTTACCTCTACACTAGGAGCTCTGGTGGCATAGTGCAGCTAATCAGAAGGCTGGTGGAACCACCAGCCACTTGGAAGAAAGATGGGGCAATCTACTTCTGCAGAGATACTGTCTTGGAAACCCAAGGAGGGGTTGCCATGCGTCAACTCTACTCAATGGCAGTGATTTTGGTTTTTTGAGTACTTGTAGGAGGAAGAAACTAGTTTGTTTCAGTCACTGTGTTTTGGGGCCTCTTTGTTAGAGCATTCTTACTCTGTATCCTAAATGATGCAGCATCTTTGAAACTATCACAGCCTTCAGGAGACTGTGGGCCTCCAAGAACACAGTGGCAGGGCCTTATGGAATTCCTGCTTACTTCTTTGACATGGATTTTTCTGTATTTTCCTATGCATTTGCTGTCCTTTCTTTTTTCTTTCAAACAAAAAAGAATAAAGTTAATTTAAATATAAATATAATTCTAAAGCCTTATATGTCGGTAGTATTTTTTTTTAGACGTTGGTCCATAGGAATGGAAAAAAATAGTAACTACAAGTGTAGCAGTATGGAGGTCAACTATTGAGTTATGTTTTACTCTGCACGTGCCTTGTGTCATGAGCTTAGGAAACTCCACAAAATGACTTGTCTTTTGAAAATTAAAAAGAGAAAAAAACACTGCTGGTGACTTTTATTGAATGATAATTATGTTTCTATATTAGTATGTCCTCATTTCAAGTTCAATTACTCTGGAGAAAAATCAAAAACCACAACTACACAAAGGCAGTGGAGAATGAACAGAAGCAAGCACAAATGGGAAGGTAGCCAATACTTAAAAGAAGCAAGTGGTCCTGGTGACTTTCCCATTTATGTGTCTCCTAGTATGAGGAGCTCTGGTGACAT